ACTTCTCCATCACGCTTTCTCGCAGCTTCAACGTTTACTTTCAACTTTCGACTTTAATTTTAATACTTTGAAATAGGGAACTCGAACAAATCACACTTTAATTTCATCAAGAAGAATATTATAACTTTGATTATGCTATAATTACCTAGTCAAATGTCGGATTTTAGAATTCCAAATCGATCTAATTATAGAAATTATCGAGTTCATTCGTAAACCACTAATTTAGATTTAGAACTATATAGTAATTTGTTACTTATGAAGCATCTCGATATATCTCAACAATAGTTCTCAGCACATTTCCTCTTTCACGTCTCACTCGACCGTAGATTAGATTTCCGTTCCAAATCCCCCCACAGATTGTATTAGGATAAATCTACGAAATCTCACCAACGCCCAGCTTCCAAGATACGCGATTACGTATAGCAGCATCTAAGGCAGTAATATCTCACTTTAACCGAGGGTTTACCTTGCGCCTCTGAACTCTTGGCAACGTTGCTGGGAGAAAATCTCCCGTGCAGATGCTGCACCGAGTATCCCTCCTGAGTGTGAGGAACAAATATAGCTTAAAGATCAAAGATAAAATATCATTAGTTAATTAGTTCCCTCTGTTATTTACTTTTGACGTCCTTAAAGCACTTTTACTTCCTCCTTTGAAAGCACTCCTTTTATTTGCTCCATTCTTTCATAGAAACGTCCATTCATTTCCTCGATCTCATTTTATATTCGAAGAGTATTCTCATTTGAAAGATGATTAATTAGATAATTATTTAAAATATCTGTAAAGTGATACCGTCGAGAAATGTAAATGTGAATTTTAGATAAAATTGTCTTGACTTTTGAATGCATTGTCCAAATGTTTTCTGAATTTGTATCTTTGTAAGAATTCTGTTCTATCTCTGAGAGAATGTCAATGGAACGTCAAGAACGATGAAAGGCTATTTTGACACGTATTGGCAGCAAACACGAGCGTGGTAATGTCCTGACGGAAGAGTACGAATAAGTATCGATCGGCCGCAGTGGTCGACTAGTAGTTAACGGCTAGCATGGTCAAACAGCAGTAATAGAACCGGTCGTGGTTAGCCAGTAGTAAGAGGGTAGTTGCGGTCAGACAGTTAGTATCAGGTCTCGCTGCGGTCGCTAGCGAATAACAGTTTTAGTTCATCATATTGTATTCTTGCTTTGAAACGTCGGTGGTCGCGGCCACGTTAACACTGGAACGCCCCGGGGAAATTGCCAGCTGTGCTGCGTGGGGGCGAGGGGGTGGCGATTCGGTGTTAACGAAATTTATGACCTGTCTTCCTCGAGGAAGACAAAGTATCGAGGGGAATTATAACGAGAGCGGAGAAATATACAATATTTACAGTGCGAAAGGTTATCCTCGAGTGTATACAAGTACCCCCAAGACACGCGATACGATTTAGTTTTGCAGTATCGCTTGAATCCATAAAAAAATCGTCGTCAAAAAATACCCAAAATTTTCCTGAATCAATAATCCAACGACATTTTAATAATTCATTGGGAACTATTTGGGTAACTTGGATTGCTTGCTCGACGAAAGTATGTAGATGTTGTTTGTCAACAAGTAACGACTCGAAAGCACGAACCGTGGAAGTCGGGTTCGCCTAACTTGCCTTGCGTTTAAGAGGATGTCAGGTCGAAACAAAGCCGATTAAGTGCTTAGGACCGAATCGGTTGAATGCCTAATTACGTAGTGAAAGGTGTTCAAGTAGATTCCTCTTACTGGCGTTGGTACCAGCCACCCTTGGCAATGGAACCCTCTTTGTTCCATCCTATCTCGCTTTCATTCTCTTTCTCTCCTTTCTCCTTTCGATTCTACCACGTCTGTCTCTCTTCTACTTTCCATTGATCGTTCAATGAAAATTAAATGTAGATATTTAGGTAATACATTAAGGTAATATATTAGGGATTTCTCCTTTGTTTCATTTACATTCTCGCGGAATGTAATTTGTTGTAATTAACTGCAACGAAATTCACGATCAAAGGAAGCGAAATATACATTACGAATAGCTCTAATTCAGATTACACAAGTCGTGTTGGGGTTAACGAACCTTGCTTGGCGCGCACGGAGCGGTGCTTGGCCTCGCATTGGTCACTTCGAGCCCGCGAAATGGGTAATTATCGTCGGATTACTTGCGTAAATGTGTCACGTCGTGTAATAGCCTGTTTTGTTTTCTGCATTCGTGCACGTGGGACACGATTACCTATGTCATTTCGAGTATGATTTCCCCGTCATTCCGTGGGGAATTGATCAGCGCCATATAGAACGAATATCGAATACAGGACGTCACGTAGACGTTATCTTGCTTGTGACATAAAATTAAGCTAGCTGTGACGGCATACTAAACAGCCTCGAGATCATCGTCCACCGAAACAATCGCAATATCCGCTCTATGAACGAAAGACAAAACTCTTGCAAGTTTTACGACAACCCTTTACTCTCCCCTCGATGAATCGACGTTTTCGTTCAACGATACTGTGGATTAACATTAAATATTTCGATGGTAATTGTTTATTCAAATATTTGATGTAAAGTGGTAGTATCTCGCATCCAGTAAGGAAAGTGATTCCAAATTAAGGTAAGGTTAGATTAAAATCAATTTGGTAATGCAATATCGTTCCGTGAGCGAATCCCTTTGTGGATCATTCCATTCTTGACTGTACAACGACAGCTAACACCGTATTCGCAAACGGATGTTCCCATTTCCTTCACTCATGGTATGTATTTAGCAAACGGAGACCGACGGGCGTTTCGAAACATTTCCGAGACGCAATCTCGTTTCACAGGGCGCAAGGATACACTGGAATCCGCCCTGCAAAGGGTACGAGGGTTGCATATTTAGGATCTTCCTGTTTGCACTTACGGAGCTTCTCGGCCATGATGCATGAGTCCCCGGTCTCATTGTTGCACGGAGAGCATCGGTCGAGATTCTGTTCTTCCTACAGTTTCAGCTGATTGTTTGTCTAGGCTTGACATCCCTTGTGCACTCGAACATGCTCTTATCGTATTGGCAATACATTGACTCGAATTCGTAAAATGAAAGTTTTTTATAAAGTCTGTGAATCTGTAGGAGGAGTGGTGCAATTAAAAGTGCTGCTATCGAAACGAAATCTAAAATGAAACCTGACACTGAATTTAGTATGGCTGCTTGTACGCGAATGCAATCCGTACTCGATTCAAACCTTACGCAAAAATAAAACAAAACTCTAGTATCGAGGAATTTTATAGACATCTCTATTAGTGGGCTTTTTAAAAAAAATGTAATTAGAGTTTCTCGATTTTAATTCAAACGTCCCCTTTAAAAGTGTGTTAAAATTAAAATTACCTGAAAAGCACGTTAAAGGAATAAAAATTCAAATAAACTGTAGAGGATCTACCGAGAGGATGGAAGGGTGGATAAATTTGAGAAGCACCGAGCTAACCACGAGCCAAGGCACCACTTGCATAATCACTTTTCGGTCGAGCTATAAAGTCCGCAGTAAAATCTGCGTGCAAACTTGCAACTGACACGTCCGAGTTCTTTGGTTGATCCAGGGCCAAGGAGAAGACAGGATCCGCCTCCAGGATCCTTGACACCTGGAACAGGGCCAAGCTCAGGTTCTCTAGGGGCGTCGAACTTATGCCGTCGGCAGACTTTCAAAATTATTGCTCGGCCGCGTCAGCAGCTACGGTGTTTGTTTTCGTCCCCATGGTAGCTCGCTGTCTTACCTATCCTTCTTCCAAATTTTCCACCTTCTTTGCGCCACGACTCGTCCCCTTTTGTTCGCCATCATCGCGCGTACTTGCTCTCCCTTCGCGTTATTCCGTTAACTGAAATCGATGGTCGGACAATATCGACGAGCGTGTCTACCAGAGAAAATAGTGTTTCGATGATCGATAGTCGTAAAACGTGACGAAAAAGGGTTCGAACTTTGAAGTGGCGTTTTCATTAAACAAAAAACACGTGACGTCGCGGGAATAAAAATAGCCTTTCGGAACGATTCTTGTGGAAACACAGAGAGGATGGGACGAATGGATGGATGTACGGAGTCGGTTTCTGCAATCCGCTTATCTTGGTAGACTTGGTCGGATTCTCGTGAAAACTTCGTCACCAGCATGCTTCAAATCCTTTGTACTTATAAACGGGAGAAATTTGGCGATGCTCGTTGTTTCCCAATTCTCACGATTGGACGGTCGGTTGATGAAAATCGTGAAACGGAAGATCTGTGTGAAAAACTTTGCGCTGGAACCGTTTCTAGTTTCCCGGCTGTTTTCGACTGTAGCCTAGAGGAAGCATTGTTATCGACTATTTGACTTGTTTTCATTTTTTTATGGTTCGAGCTCCTCGGAGAAACAGATTTTCGGAATGTTCAACAACGACAAATTCGCGTCGCATACTACATAGTTGAAATAGATAGTTTCGAGTGTTATATTGCACGCTAAGTAAGGTCCTATGCATCAGCAATTTCTTACAAGTACGCTACAACGATACATATCGAAAGTTCCTAAAGCCAAAGCCACCTCTGAAGGCAGAATGAACTTTAATGGGTCACGCGTAGTCGTAATTATCTAATTACGATTACGGTTCACTGATTTCACTTAGACCCCTATCGGGTGGACTGTGTGGTTTCAATTATCGACCAATTAGATCAAACGAAATTAACCGTTTACTGCGATACTTTGGCCACGTGTGCTAACCGGAGTAGAAGAATCGACTTCGTTCTCCTGTTCTTCAGGAAAATTCAATTTAACGTCGCGTTTAATGTCATCGTTTAATGCGATCATCGAGCCACGATGAAATACTGCCATCTTTCGTACGATATTTCAGTATCGTCAATTTTGTATGAATATTATCTTCACATCGGTCGATTTATTCTTTTGTTAAATCAGATTTGTTTCGTCTCTAATTGGCTTATGTTTCGACTCCGTGCTCGTGCTAATACGTGCGTGAAATATGAAATCACTTTAACGGATTTTAATTTATTTTTTCTTCTGCTTTCAGGTTGAACTACCTGATGTCAGGATTAACGCCAAGCTGGTATCACGCGACGAATATTGCCTTGCACGCCATTGCATGCGTTTTGGTCACAAGGGTGAGCCTAGTCGTGGCATCGCTGCGTCCTGGATTTGCAGCCCTGACAGGGTTGCTGTTTGCTGCTCATCCCGTACACACGGAAGCGGTGAGTAACGAGGAACTTTGATACAGATGAGACACGATGTAGTAGACACGATATTTGTTAAGTGAACAGCAGTTAATATTAAAAACAGGTCGTGATCGATTGTTACGGGACTGATAGCATTCTATAAGTTAGGTCATACCAGGTTTACCAATTACTACATTGACAAGAATACAGAATGTTAATCTCACCCAAAAAACTAAAACTTTTAGACGATTTTTTGATGCGGTGTGAATGGTTCTATTATCTCGATTACGTGTGACCTGATCAATTAGGATTATCGAAGTCCCACCGTGTAGCAATTTCGATAGGCGACGATTGACATTAATCCCACGTTTTCGCGTTCGCGTGGCAGCGAGTTTATCTTAAGCCGATCGAGGATCGAGGGATAAGGGACCAATCGGCGAGAGGAAGTCTCTTGTTCTTCTCGTCGCTTCTCGTCCTGGGCGCCCAAGAACAATGAACTTGGACGCCAATGATAATGTTTGTCTACTTAACCTGCTTCGCCTAAGCGGGTAATGGTAACATTGTACTCGTCGTTCTCGCTGGTTATCTGTTGTTTCAGAGGGTTCGGGTTTAAAGTGGATTGTGGTACGAGGTTGATGGGAAAGGCTTGGACGCGCGGAGTTTAACATCAGGCTAATAACAGCTAGCTATAGATACTAGCTGGCTTGAGTTAAATTTCGCGGTTTTAAAGGTGATACAAAGTTCCTGTGTACAGATAATCAGTGGATGTCATCTCCATATTTTTGTTCACGCCATAATTCTAGATAAACTGGCACTTGCGTTTGGTAGAGGATACAAGTTCGCCGCGGCCAGGATCTGCGGATAAATAAATTGTAACTGCGACGCGGAAAGTTGCATGTTACAAAGTTGGAGATCCTTCGATAAACGAAGAAAGCTCGCGAGGGATCGTTATGCGGGGATAATGGGTGGCCAAGAGGAGAAACTTACGGGAGGATAAAGTACTGGCATTCATCGGACAAGTGCTTCGGATGGACGGTTATTCGCGTAAGACGTAACGTTTCGAGCGAAAATTACCACCGACACACGACATCGATTACTCGAGGAGAGAGGGCTGCCCATTACAAGCTCCCAACCGCTCGCTGGTCACGCACTGCATCCTGTTACATCACTTGCGTGCACGCGCCATTGCATGTATCGCAGCGTTGCGTGTGCAGCGACCCCTTGTTGCTCGTGTCACTACCGCGATGTCATGCTCGCGTTAGATTCGCGGATGAAGAAGTCGGATACACGCGCGTAACTCGCGGTGACATTAAGCTGGGACATTGGGCGATCTTGCGGCCGATCTTGGCGTCTTATTGCTCTAATTTAGAGCTTGCCTTCGGGCGCTGGGAACTTGCGAACGATTTCACGGTTACGCTGTTGCGAACCGAATAATAACAGGAATTCAAGCTGAATGCGTTCAACGATCGAGACGATGATAAGAATCGCCCCGAGTTGGCGAAGTGACGTTGAAAAATGAGGATCGAGGGCGTCGACTGAAGGAGAAGAAAAATGATGACTCGTATTTGGGTTAATCATAGCGTTTCATCAGTTTGTTTGCACAGACTGGCTTGCTTTAATCCGCATGTTGACGCCGAGAGTGATGTGTATCAGCGAATGATACGGTAAGACACTTTTCAAAGTATCTTTGTAATGCCAGTAATATGGCCATTCAGAGTACTTATGAGTACCTCCACAATCACTTCCCGTTTAACCAGTCCGCATACAGTCGAACCAGTGAGCGTTACTTTGTTTAATCCTTGTACGTTTGTTCCACTCGAAAACGAACTTTGTGGAGCTGAGACATCGAGCCGACCACGGCTCCGCGAATGTTTTGCTTGCCTATATCGTCCAATCGGAATCGCAGCTTCCATCGAAGCGAACCGATTCGCTCGGTAACCCTCATCATATTGCTATTCAGCCGCTGTTCCGACAATAGACGTTGAATCCCTTTGTTTGTCCTAGCAGGCGTTGTTTACCGAAATCATTAAACCCTGCCCCGGATTGAATCCCTGATCGAACAACGGTACTAGCGTCGCGTTAATCAAGTTGAACGCCGTCGGAGCCACTGAAAAGGCCTATTGCTCTCTGCTTGTAAAGACAGAGTCTTTTGATCGTCGAACGCCATGCGAACAGCCATTTACCCCCGAAGCTTGGACTGGTTCTTTGTGCCAATTTTGGCGATGCGCGACCCGCGACGCGTCGTTTGACGTCACGGCGTTGCCGTCGAGCTGGCCGCGCGTCAACGAATAGGACAACGACGCCGCGCATCCTCCTTGTCGAATCAGTTTGTGTCACTCCTGCGCTGTTTGCCAAAATGATCAAACGGTGAAAGCACGGCCGGTTTCTGGCTGCCGAGGGCGTTGAAAGGAAGCGCGTTAATTAAGTACAACGGCACCGAAGCGGCTGTTTTCAGTGTAAACCCGCTCGAACAAAGGGCGAACCGGTTCGGAAGAGGGACGAGAGCACGTCAAGAGGGTCACCGAGCGTTCACGGACTTGCTTGTGTGGCAGACGAACGCCCGAATTTCGACGATCGATCGATTATCGCGCCCCCGTCGCAACCGGTATAAGGGTCAACTTTTCTTTCGAGCTCTGCCATGAATCAATCGCTCGAGTATTTGGAATCGGGCTAGTTTGTAAATCGTACGTATGAATCAACGGATCGATTCGACGTAACCGCGACTAGGAAAAATGATCGTGCCACTTGTTGTTTCGTGTCTGCCCGCGATAGTCGCTTACTTTGACTGGAGTGGTATACACAGTTTGGCTTGAGAGTAACGAGAGAGTAGGGGGATTGTGATGAAACGACTCGAGCAAGTATGTTGGAAGTTGTCACAAACCGTTCGAGCACCGTTCAAAGTTACGTGCACGCTATACGATTCGCTGCCAAGCAAGGTTCTGTGACCCCGTGGGCAATATCTTCAAGCGGTAACGGGCACTAGTCCTTAGATTTCCTACATTTTATTGCAATGACCAGAGTACACGTAGCGGTGGAATTAGTCCGATACCGCAGGAGCTCTTAATCATGCAAAGGTTCTCATTCAAATGAAACTGTTTTAACGTACATGCTACATGCCAACTTAATTCTACGCGTTCAATGCACAGAAATTTTCAAGGTGGACGCAGGAAAGAATGTGTCAACGGAGTCAACCATTCGGATGATTTTCAGGGCAGCCGGAAAAAATTTTTTAAATTTCCGTCAACACAGACCAGCATCATTTGTCGCTGATTTCGCTACAGCGCGAGTTACGAGAGCAGAAAACAAGCTAATTCAAAGGCAGCGACTCGTCGTTCCTGTAAATGCAAAAGAGCTTAAAGGGAGCCTGCCACGATCGATACGGCTTTAATAGCCACTGTTTATCCTCGATACAAAACTTCCGGCTTGTGCCCTTATATAAAGAGGACGTCCAGGCACTTGCTGTGACAGACGCGAATCAGGGTAGTGCCTTTGGTTGCCAACGTTCCCTACGAGGACACGTACGTCTGCTAATTAGGGAGATATTTCGAGTTTCCTTCGAATCTAATATTCTGTCACAAACGTAACTAAAAGGCACGAGGGTACACAAGTGTACACAAATCTACACAAGGGTAATTTGATTCTTTGGCGCCAAAAGGATTGCGCTTCAACAACATTTGCACCTCGACTTTATCACGGACCGAACTTTCAGTGGAATTTAATCTCGGTGGACTTACTTAGACATTACTAAGTCTTTGAGTTTTGGCACGTCGCTTTCGCGAATCCTGTTAAAAGGAAATAAGAAGTTTTTGGACTGTTAATGGACTACATCAAACTCGGAAAGTTTTCAAAGATTCCCGGAGAGAAGCTGTAATCTATATTCTTTTGATAAACTTGGAAATTATCGAGAGAAGACTTGGCAATAGTTACATTCTTTTTTCGTTACTAACTTTATTTTAATCGTTTCTTTCTTTTTCGAGATATAATTTTGTTTAAACTCTTTCAAGCACCGTCTAAGTTACGTTTTTTATGTCTAAATATTAAATGTAGATGACTTTGACAGCCGACTAAAATTTTAGTCCAAGTAGAATCAATCGTCTAATGCTTCTTCTCGACTCGTTCTCGTTTCGATAAATCGCAGAGGTTTTATCAAAGGTTTTAGCTCGATTGACTTTTCGTCGTTTCAAGGGTGCAGTGGAAACACGCTGGATATTCGATCACATGTTACGACCCTCTTTGGATTTTTCCTACGTTCACGATTTTCTCACGCTGCTTTTGGCTATCAACTTTTCGATATTATAAGTTGCACCTGAAATTGGATGCATCGATTTTCTCCGATACATGCACGACCACTTACACAACGTATTTCTGCCGTATGAAAGAGACACCGTATTTTCAGTCAACGATGAAAACGTTTCTCCGACAGAAGCGGAGAAAAGTAATGCGATATTAATTTCTTGTTTGCTGTTACTGTTATACAATTTCAATATAATCCATAGATACTTCAATTTTAATATCCGCAGGTGTATTTTAATACGAATAACAAACAATGCAAATGAGTTTCATTGTAAGAATGAATTAAATAAATGTTCAATACCATTGCGTGAAGTTATCGATAAAAAGATTCAGAGGAAGATCAGTGGAAGACTCTAATTGATGAATACTCGCTTTTTAATCATCGACGGATAATCATTTCTATACTAAACGCTCCAAAATAAATCGATACGCAGCAATAACGTTCGCGTTGATTATAACCGATGAATATTAATTGATAAACACACAGTTTCTGATAAACGTTTAATATTTTCACGAACATACCACTGACTTGTCAAATCAATAATAGTCAAAGGTATAACCGTATCACCATTAACGACGTGAAATTAATCGCGTCCAATACTCTCGGTTGCTTTGATTATTGCTATTATTAATCAGTTATGAATATCGATTTCTCAATGATCAGAATTTCCAATCGTTAACCAGACTATACGTTGCCCAGCTACCTCCATTATATTGGGCTAAAGTATGAATTTCGTGTGAAG